TGCCTTTTCGCCAGCTGGTACATTGAGCATTTCCATGCAGTAGAAATTATGCATCTCCAAGTGTACTTAAATCTACTGGCCTGCTGCTGTCACACATAGTCTACTCACGCTACAGAGGAAAAAAAAAAGACCCAAAACCTGTGCATTTGTGTAAAATTCAAGCATTATGGGGAGATGCACATTGCATAAAGCAGTATGGCTTAATTCAAATACACATGAAGATGAAACACAGACCTCTTTTGCCAACTCTTTATTTCATGAGGCAAGGAAGGAGTGTTAGAGACACCAGGCTTTCTCTTAACCCCAAAAAAGGCAGGTGTTTTGCTATACACTACAGGATAAAATCTTTCTCTCTTCCCCTGACTCTGTTTTGGTCCAGCAGCACTTCAGCTGGAGGTGATTCTGCAGTTTCCCAGAGGAGATATGTGACCTCAAGTGTGGTGCTCCATTTTCACTCCATGGACCCCTGTTTTGATATACTCCAAGGTCTAACCCTGGCTGGCCTGTCCTTGTGTTCTGTACTCTAGTTTGTGTTCTGCAGAGCTGCTTCCACATGGAACCACTGGGGTAGATTTGCAAGGCTTTGGAATGCTCCTATTTCTGTATGGAGCCAACGTAGTTCAGGTAAATTTTATCACTTCTGGCTCTGCTTCACAGGAATTCAGACACACAGTTTCTAAAAATGTAGAAAACATAGAAGAGAAGGCAGCAGCACTAGTGTGGTGCTAAGCATTTAGAAAATGTCCCTCCTGGACTAAGAATTCCTCACTCACTCTGACACTGACAGCTTGACAAGCAGCCACTGACAGTGAAGGACTGACTGAAATATGCACACTCTCTTTCTACATACAGTTGTGCACACACTTTCAGAGGAAAGGGGAAAGGAAATTAAATCACAGAATATCCATACAAAAGGCAGCTATCCGATCATGGACAAATGCACCACTTGAGCAACTTAAGTGAATGAATAGAGATCTTAAGCACCTGATATTTCACTACATTACTGTCTTACAGAAAAGTGGTGTGACTTACCCTGGTTTTGGCCTTTTGTCAAAAATAAGGAGGAGGGAGGCAGAGTCTATACCTCACATGGACCAAGGTCATACTAGAAGGTGAGCCCAAGTCTCCTGAGCAGTGTCTAAATGTCCTCCGTATGCCTGCAAATAATAAAAAAAACTTTCTTATTCATTCTCTGACCTGTTCATGATGTATTTAAAGAAAAAGAAGAATTTCAGCAGGAGAAGTGGCAGAAGCTGAGGCCTCAGGCAAAACCAATATGTTAATAACCATGATTTTTTTGCTCTGGCTCCTTAGTTTAGATATTCAAACAGGTATTCAAACATAGTGGGATAGAAATTCTCTCAGATACACACTCAGTATGTAGTTATTTGTTTTCTCTTGGTCCCTGTGACTAGGAAAGTGACTTTCATATATCTCCCTCTATTAAACACAGAGAGTTTTGGCTCGAATACACTGCAAAACAGAAAAATACGGTTAAATACAAAATATTTTTAGAAAGAAGTGCCATTTCTACTTCAGCTGTAATTAAAAATTTTTCTTTTCATGTCTACATGGAAAGTGAAGAAAAGTGAGAATTGTCAAAGTCCTTAATTTTAAGTCTTGAAGGGACTATCGTGAGTGCTCAATATGAACTACTGGACAGTTTCTCTTGTAAAAGTTGTCTCTAGTCTTCCGTTAAAAAACTTTAGGTGTTCATGAGCTTCCCTCCTCTGGAAAGCTATTCCAGTATTTGTTTAAATAATGTTTAATTATGTTTAAATTAATAAATAATTTATTTTTTAATACAAATTAATTTATTATTTTTTATAAATTAATGTTTGATTAGTTAGTTTTCCTAAAATTTCTTTTCAGTGTCTACTTTTTTATTATTCCCATGTTTTTAACAGTCTCATGTAAAGATAAGTTTCACATAAATATGGGACTGCCAGAGATTTAAGAGGGTAGTTTCTTTTTTTAATGCTGCAGACACTTGATAAATCATCCTGATTTTCTAAGGTGTTAGTCAGGAACATCATCCTGTTTTCACTGTAACTATCTACTTTCATGAAAGGGCTTAGGAAGGGTTCCCTGGCGCCAGACACCCCATTTGATTTTGTCTGCACAATGCCCCATGGTTTGTATGTTTTGAATGCTTTGATTATGAGTCCCCAGCACGGTGCCAGTGGCACAAGTGATGCTTGGATGGCTCTAGACCCTTTCCAGTGCTCTTACATTCACCTCACATTACTGAGGCCATGCAGTGTCATGAAAATAAAACCACAAGTCACAGAAATGACACTTCCAAGATGAAGGTAAAGAGCAAGATCTCCAATGTGTAAATAACTATTTTTTTTCTTAAGAAGCATCCTTTTGCTACTTTATTATTTAGTTTTGGAGTTGTTGCAACTCACTGAGCTGTTTTTCTCATTGGATAACTTCTTCAAAGCTCTGTGCAAGGCAGTACCACATCTGTAGTGTGCATTGATGTAACAAGTAGAGACTTTGTCCTCTATTTTCACCTGTATTTAAAAGAGATTTTATCTTTCACAGGAACAGCCAGACACACATAATAATTGAACTTCCAGCAATTATTTACAGTGATATCACTGAACACTTCATATTATAATAAAATAGTTTACATAAACATGATTAAACTATCCCATATCATGTGCTGTCACTGATTAACACACTTAGTGATTTGGTTATTGCAAAATTTTTGCTGTTCTTGTTGATTATTTTAAAAGACATTAATATATAGGGATGACTGCAGATTTCTGATTCCTTCACAGCTATTTTAGTATCCTAGCTCAGTATTTCATTTTATTAAAGTGTTTAATAAAAGTTCATGTTACACCAGTAACTGCATATTGTATGTAGTATCTTAGGATCAGCTTTGAAGAAATATCCCTAGAAATAACCTTCCCTAAAATCTTAAGTATCCCTCACCTCACAATAAACCAGGATTTTTGTCCTTTTTTTTTGGAAAACTGTTTTAAAATACAGTGCATGACAAGATCATGGGGTCTGGTAGAGTTTGCTCTCCATGGAGGTAATGGGACAGGTTTGATGAAAAATTGCTTTCTCCAGGCCTCATCCTGCCATTGTTTGTCTGGGATGCTTGTTCCCAGGCTGGTGCCTGCCCCATGCTGATACAACAGTCCTTGTCTGAGTGCTCTGACACGGGGTGCCACAGCCCCTGTTTGCACAGGTTGTTCCTCTTCAGATCAAGAGTGTTCCAGAGAGAACCGATTTTCCCACCAGTGGGTGAAGGTCTTAGTCACCCATCTAAACAAAAGGAAAGGCAGCATATAGATGTTTTAAGAGAAAACAGCAGGATTAATCTTCAGATTGGAGACAAGTCCATTTACTAAGATGTTAATTTTGTTTAGGTTCTGTACTTTGATTTGCTGTTCTTGTCTCATTTTCTTTCTTGCCCACTTTAAGAAGACAGTGTGGACTCTTACGTTCAGCTCAATAAATTAAATCAGCATGAGGACTAGCACTCCACAGTACTAGCCTTATGAAAGAGTGACTAAAGCCTGGCTTTGCTCCAAAAGCTTAAAATTCTCTTACTGCATCAGAGATACTGGCTCATGCCTGTTACATGCCTACAGCACAGGCTAACTGTCTGTTTCTGTGCTATAAAATGCCACACAGTGGGCATTTAACCCATTGTGGATTAAATTAAGATTTTGCAGGATCTGTCAGGAACAGTAATTTTCAAGTAATACAAATAAATAAATACACACACATGCACAGATGTGCAAACCAGGGGTACCAGGATGGTAGACGTGTTTCTAGCAGTTTGGTTAGTCTGTAATCTGGAGAGGCTGGATTCTTCATCAGACAAGGCTGAGGGCATCAGAGTGGCCTGGGCTGCATTTTGTGTCTAACCTCACTGATTTGTTCTGAACCCTCTCCAGATCAGAGGATGCCATGTGTGTGTTTACTGTGATAGCATCAACACATCTGATAAGAATTCAGACCATCAGCAGGTATTGATTAGCAGAGTGCAAGTCAAGTCACTGATCCTTTAAGGATCCTTTCTTGTAAACCCAGATATAACTGACCCTTTTTCTCTAAAGCTCTCTCTAGCCCACAGAGCCATATCCGTGGCCCCTATTTCCTTTTTTCCTCCCTTCCCCCCGAATATCCCCCTCCACACAAACTGCTGCACTTGGAGCATGCCTCTGTTCCTTTCCATGCAAAGTTTAATCTCTTTTTCAGCTGTGATCAAGAGCTGTCATCAAAATGATCTCTGCTTTCATGTTGGATTGAGGGTTATGTTTACTGCACTCAATTTAGACTCAGACAGTGATGTATCAGGGAAAGCTTTGTTAAGTAAGAAATCCAGCTCGTGTGGTCAGGCCTGTCTACTTAAAGAACAACAGCGGCTTTCATTTAGATTGTGGAAAAACTGCCCCTCCAAGTTTTTCTCTATGGCAGTAGTCTGTAGACAGGAAAAATCCTTAAACCTAAGAAAGAATAAACCAGGTGTTCACAGAAAGACTTATAAACAATCAGGGGGAAGAGTGCAGGTAGGCTTAAGAGGAATGTAAAATGGAATGTAAAACGTTGACATGAACACAAAAGGCAGTAGAGAAAACATTTTCATAACTTAGGACTCCAGCTTAAAAAAAGAAAAAGAAATGTATACACACATGAGACAGAAATTTGCCACAGAAACCATCTTGAACTGTGTCATAGTTTGAAATTGGCCCCCCTGAGAGGCTGGGGGGGCTCAGAGGTGATTGGGTGCCAGGGCAGCGTTCCCGGGAGAGCCAATCGCTGTCCCTGTTGTTCGCTTCTGCTCAAAATCATATATCACAGCACCGGAAGTGTTTGGCATTGCAGTCTTGGTTGTTTTGCTGTTGGTGTCTGCTGCGTGTAGGTGGACAAGGCCAGGGGGTGGCTGGGCTCCCTCTCTTCCCCTCTGGGGGGGAGAGGGGAGCCCTGCGACCCCCCAGCTCAGCCTTTGGCTAGAATTAGAGTCAGCATTTGGAGTGTGTGCTGTGAAGGAAGGGATTCACAGCACCTGAGGTAAGAGGAGAGAGGTAGGCTTTGCAGCCAAGCCTTCTTCCCCCTCCTTTTCTGCAGTGAAGCTGTAGAGGGGGGCTTTTTCTTTCCCTCCACTGTAAGTGGAGGAGAGGCTCAGAATTAAAGCTGAGCCAAGAGACTGGGCCGTGGAAGTAGGCCCGGCGAAATTGGAAATGAGCCAAGAGCTCGAAAGTTGCCTGCCGAAGCTGACCGGGGGCAGCTGAGAACTGATGTGGAGGAATGAAGATTCCAGGATGTAGATGCTTGATAAGCTACACTGCAGCAGCTTACGAACCAAGGTGAGGCACTGAGAGGGAGGAATCACCAGCAGCAGAAGAGCAAGGACTCAAAGCTATCTTCTCGGACTTCATGAGGAGGAGAGACTACAACAAACAATCGCTGGAACTTGGTGAGGAGGGAGTGTTCAGGAGCCCAGAACACTCCCACAGCAAAAGACTGTGTTACATATCAGCCTTAAAAGCTGCTCCTGGACCAAAGTTAAAGGAGGGGCTTGAAAGGACTGACTGATAGTAATGTAATATATATATATATATATATATATAATTGCCTTTAGTTTGTATAGTATTTATTTGTGTAAATAAATGTATATACTTCCCCCTTCCCCTACAGAAGCCTCTGGCCTGAAAGTTTCTCTCCGGTGTTAGGATAAATTGTTGAGAAGGGGTGGGGGAAGCCTAAAAATTGGATTTTAGATTTCTAATGTGGCTCAAACTGCCACAAACTGTCATCTCAGAAAGTCAGTATATGAACCCAAAAAGAGAATAAAAACATGAAACGGGAAGACCAAAAATGTGTAAATGTGTCAATTTACCCAACCTCATCTTAATTCTGTTGGTGAAAGTAATGTGCAACTATATCGGGAAACCTTTTATAACCATGTGTCTTAACAAATTTGTTCTGTATTACAGAGTAAATTCACAAAACAGGAGTTCTAGAGGCTTTTGGCACCACTACCAGCCTGGAGCATGAAGAAGTGATGTGAAGATGGCATTTCCTAGAAAAAGCGTGCTGGAGTGGCAGGAAGGTGAGACAATGTGGCTTATTAACTTTTTTTTTTTTTTAATTAAATTATGCATCTGTGCATTCAATAAGTTGTTTGGTCCAGGGAAAGTTTCTTCCACAAAGCTGGACTACCATCTGACAGTCATATGTCCTTTGCCGAAGCTTAGGCTGTGACACTCAGACTTGATCTGGAGAGCTGACCCGTGTTTGGGAGGACCTAGCAGGGGCAGTCATTGCTCATTCAGAGGAATCACACGGGTGTAAAAGCCTGACTGCAGGGTCCTGTGGCATATGTGGGGCTGGAATTTCCCTGCCTGAGAAGAAAATATCCTCTGATGCATGATACCTGTTCACAGTACCTTGCAAGAGTTTGCTCCCTTTCTCTACATCATTCTGAAAGGGCTTCTCCTGAAAGAAAAATTGTAAGCACTGCTTTTAAGCTCCTCTTTTCTCCACTGTCCTGTACATCCTATCTTATAGCATCTGCTATCACATACCCGCTCTTTCCATGAAAACCATCTCTCACCAGTTATTCTGGAGACAGGCTTTTACCACCTGATAAAAAACCCAAGCCAGCATGTTCCTGCTTTTAGGACTCAAATTAAAGAACAGATTTAATCCATGTGAAAAATGACACACATTAAATACAGACATTGTAAGACAGCTACTGTTCCTGCTCCAGGAATTTTTCATACTCTGATGACTTCTTAGTCAGCACAGATTGGTTCTTTCCACAGCCTACCTCTTGAGAGCATTAGTGTAGTCCGAGACAGGCTGTTGGACAATCTTTATGTCCTTCCCCATCCAGAAAAGGGCAAATCCACATACAAAGAGCTGTACAGTGCAAAACAGGCCAGAACAGCTCAAAGAAGAGTAACAGGAGGGTATAGGTGCCTAGGAGGGCTGGTTATGCAGATGTGACAGGACACTAAAGCCCCTGCCAGGGAAGACTTTGTACAGGGGAGACTCTCCCCTGAAGTATCTCTCAGGTTAGACAAGTCTCTGAGGGGCTGGGCTCACTCACAGAGGGTACTCATGGAAACCTGAGCTGTGGCCTTATCAGTTTGTAGAAGCTGAAAGGTGTACTTGATGAGCTCCCACATTGCTTCGGGTCTGTGGCCTTTTAAGCTGCTGTGACTCTAAAACCATTACTCTAGAGTACTTGAGTCTGTTCCTCCCAGCCCATGGTTTCCAATTATGTTGATGTATAAGAAGAAAATGTAGAAGTCAATTAATGACTTTCATAATAAGCTATGAAAAATAAGTTTTAGCTACAAGCTCATTGCCCATCCTCGTCTCTTACTTTTCACAGCTTCCTAAATTTGTTAAAAATATGCATGCTTTTAAGAAGACAGAGTATCTGTCAGCTAAACAAGTGGAAGAGTTCTGCTTCATTTTGATGAGATGCTCTGCAGTGACCAACTTGCCCTTTGGACATTTAAGACAGCTGAGTGCCAGGACTGTCTCAAGGAAAAGTGGTAGCAAGAGAAGTAGTAAGTTGTGGCCATGTGTTCAAAGACAAAGTCATGTAAGCGCTCATGCATTTGTGACTCAAATGAACAAGCATGCTTCCACTCTCCGTTCCCCTCTCTAACTGAAATCATGTGCATTAGAGTCTGTATTTGTCTCATTTGTCACAGGTGATGAAAACTCATTAAATTTGGGTTGAAATCCTGACCTCATCACAAACTCTTTTCCTGTTATGACCCTGGGTATGTCTTGTATTTTCACTTTTTCTATCATGATCCTGACCTTTTCAAGACACACGTATGTAAGGGTTTTGCATACCTTGGCCCTGATTTTAGTGTACATACTTCGTACCTTCACCCCGATTTTAGTGTGCATATTAAACTACACTGTCACAAAAATAACAACCATTTTCTGCTTTCTTTCCTGACCTATTAACTTTCTAATTTTTTTTCTTCTTAGACACATAGAACAAAGATTTAGCAGAAAACAACCACCTTTCAAACAACAGAAATAGCTTAATGCATTCAACAATCTGACCCGTTTCCCAAGCCAACAACTAAAATAAAATAATTACAGTTAAACATGAGTTTTGCTTAGAACAAACTCCCATAGTAAATGCCTTGTTTGTAACAGTAAGAAAATAATTTCCTGACCAGAAGAGGGCATTTGACTTCATGACTTGGGCTCGTGGCTGTGGGCTCATCATCTTGAAATAAAAACAAAACCCCACCAAAACCTATTCTACATTACTAAAAATTCTTACCATTAGTGGTTACTTCTGTGCAGTACCAGATGTTTAAACCTTTCACTCAAAGATCCCCCTGAAGTCAAGAGGGGCTGAGAATATGACAGTGAAGAAAAGAGTCATTGATCGATCCTTCTCTGAATTATCCACTTCCCACTTTCTAGCATCAAGACAAGCAGAGCTTTACTCAACCAACATTCAAGAAAAAGAGCCACCTGCAAATGGACTTGTTTGTCCCAAGTTACAGGCATTTACTCACTGGTCTGAACTGGCACAGTTATTCCTCTTTATTTTCTTTGTTGTTAGTTAAAACCTCTGAAATGATGAGCATACAGGAGTTTTATGTAATCTTAGATCTTAAAGTGGGAGATATTTACACCCTTGTAAAAGGTCCTTATCATCCTCAATCACTACAGCAATTAATAACTAGGACAAGACCCCAGCTGTGTGAATGTGGTTTTCCACAGTGTTGACAGTGAGTAGAGGAAAAATACACTCACTGAAAAGTGTGTGCTTTTGGGATCTTAATTTAAAGTAAGGAGAAGTACCAGGCAGGGGAAATACTCTCCTGTAGTTGAAGGGTGAACAGTGTGGATAAATTGCAGAGTTGGGCAAAATAGCTAATGAAAAGAAATACTAGAGTTGCCAAAACTGCATGTTTCATGTTGTCACATTGACTTTCCTGAAGTGTCATCCTTGACACTGAAGTTCCCAACTTTGGTATTTTTTTAAGAAAAAAATCCCTTCCCTTTTAAATGCCAATAAGTGTATTGGTATTCCAAGAAATTTGAAACTTGATTTGTTTCCTATGAATGCAAACAAAACACAAAATATTTCTGTTTTAAGTTTTAAGAGTTTTAACATTCCTGTTAAATTAACATTAACTCCAAAGTTTTAACGTTCTCTGCTCACCAGGCATGAACTGGAATTGTCCCAGATAAAATTGCTTATAGTAAAACCAAATAAATCTGTTTCTACTTTACTTAGTTGCATATTTTTCAATTTTAAGTTTTTATGAATACTTACAACCCAATTGCCATTGACCTCAACAGAGCCTCCAATTTTATGCCATTCTGGTCTTGAATATACTGGGATGTCCTGCAAGGCTAGAACAGAGTCAGATCAGCAGCAGCTCAGGCAGCGAGAGTTAAAAGTAGCTTAAGCCAAGAGCAGACCCAGGAGACCCCAAAAACAAAGTGTGAAGGTGTTCATAATGTAAAAGTTTAGGATCAGTTTTCTTGTGAGAGTTTATTTTCCAGATGGGTTTAGGACAATCTGGGTTAGGTGATATCTGAAACAAAGAAAAGGAAGTTATTATTTCAGTGTTTTATAATAGATTCATAGTTTTCTCTTGAGGTTGTTATGCAAGATATGCACATGTGCCTGTGAGAAACAGAAACGAAATGTCAGACATACGTTAACGTTGGAAACCAGAATAACAATGAATACACTTGCTTATAAAGAGATCAACACTTTGGTTTCAGCATGACACAGAGAAGTTCCTAATGCTATGAAGCAAGTTTGCCAAGTGCAGCTGAGTAGGTGGAACTGATAGCTGACACCGTTCAACCTAAAGCAAGACACGCAATTTTGCAAATGAGGAAACCCAATCACAGGAGGTGATGACGGCAGGATACATTAAGTACTCTGTCATGTGGTATTTTCAGCTGGAGCTGGCAAGCCTTCCCCAGAAGAAAGCAGTTGCTCAGTCACCAATTGCCAGAGAATGAGGTGGAGCCACTTGGAGAAACATCTGTGGTTTGCCTCCTGCAAGGAGCCAGTCCATTACTGAAATGGCTTGCTCCTGGCCTAGATTCTGCTACAGCAATGCTGCCTCTGAAAAACTGAGCAGTATGAAAACATATGGTCTGGAAACTTGTGGTGCATCTTTGAACAACAGGAAAGTCTACTCATTAGCAGATAAAGCAATGTTCTGGTTAGTCAAGACAAACAAAATTTGGGAAGTACTTATTTGCTAGTTATATAGTGCTCCTACATATCATGGATGCTGGCAAAACAGATTCCCCTTACACACCACAGCACTGCTTCAGCCTTTGGCCATTACTTTCATTGTCAAGTATTTAACTTCTTTTAATGTATGAGTGCAATTAAAATCTACGATAAAGCACTACCAGAGATATCAGCTATACCTTCACATTCCTCAGTGTTTTTAGTATCAGAGCAGGGCATCACTGCTACACTGCCATGCACCTGTGCTATGTTAATGGCCTAAAAGCCCAAGGACAAGATTCAAGACACCATATAAAATAATTATGTAAAACAGCCTCTACCCTAAAATGCTGCCATTTACTAGGCTGATGAGCCACATCATGGAAGAACTAGAAAGAAAACAAAAACAGAAAAGAGGCTTGTCAAAAACATGAATTAGCTTTCATAAAAGCAGCAGTACAGAACTTCTTGAAAAAATCTTTGAAAAACGTGATCAAGGACAATGGATGTGATAGAGACGTCTAAAATTGTGAGTGACATGGAAAAAGATCTCATCATACAGGGGTAGTATTTTTTTCATACATCTTATAGAGGTACCTGGATGTTAGGTAAATTCACTGACCAAAAAAAAAGGAGAAATTTATTGTTGATTTTCATTTCTAAGCTTTTGGGCTTTATGTGCATTAGCTGGATTTTTGGTCAAAACCTTATGACAGCTGTTCTTGATAGACTGAAGGAGGCTGACCAGACAGTATAAATGAACAGACATACCTCTTTTTCCTTCCTTCAGCTGTCTACATTGTGAAGATGATTTCATTCATGGCTAGGCTTCACGAATGAAGATTTAGGAAGGCTCTATCCACATTTGTTACAGGCACGCTGGTGGCTTATGAGGCCAATACGAGATAGACATATCCGATTGCAAAAGGCACAGCACAAAGACTCCTTAGATGGTGTATTCTGCAAGAGACGGTTCTTTCTGTGCTGTCTTTTCTCCTCGAGAGTGATCCTGCGTGTGTTCTCAAAGGAGACAGGTGTGTCTCCAGGCCTCCTGATTGGAGGCCAGAGTAGACCAGTTATGTTGATCAATACGGCCAAGGCTGAGATGTTGTTTCAGGGAGTCCTTGTATCTTCTCTTCGGGGCTCCTCTCTTGCAGCAGCCAGTGGCAAGTTCACCATAAAGCAAGATCTTAGGGAGGCGGTGGTCCTTCATCCTTGAGACGTGTCCTGCCCAGCGCAGCTGTGTTCTCAGCAACATGGCCTCAATACTTGTGACTGCTGCTTGCTCAAGAACAGATGTATTGGCCACATAATCTGACCAGTGGATGTTTAGGATTGTACGGAGGCAGCGTTGATGGAAGCGTTCTAGGAGTCGCAGGTGGTGGCGGTAGATGACCCAGGATTCGGAACCATACAAGAGAGTAGAGAACACAATGGCTCTGTAAACACTGATCTTTGTACTTTTCTTCAAGTGTTTATTATGCCATACTCTTTTGTGGAGTTTTCCGAAGGCACTGTATGCCTTTGCTAACCTGTTGTCTTATCTCCCCATCAATCTTACCGTCCGAGGAGATGAGGTTACCGAGGTAATTAAACTGCTGGACTGATTTGAGCTCTGATTGGCCAATGGTGATGTGGGGATGATGGGGGACTTCCTGAGGTGCAGATTGATGGAGAACTTCTGTCTTCTTTAAGCTGACTTCCAGTCCAAGGAGCTCAGCAGCATCTGCAAAGCAGGATGTTAAACGCTGCAGAGCTGCTTCTGTGTGGGCGACAAGGGTGGTGTCATCAGCATAAAGCAGCTCCCGGACAAGATGATTTAAGGTCTTAGTGTGGGCCTTCAATCACCTTAGGTTGAATAGGCTTCCATCAGTACGGTGTCAAATGTAGATACTGTCCTGATCCTCGAGGTCTGCCGTGGCCCTTTGGAGCATCATGCTGAAAAAGACTGTGAATAGGGTTGGAGCGAGAACACAGCCTTGTTTCACACCATTCTTAATTAAAAAGGGCTCAGAAAGTGCATCGCCATATCTGACCTGGTGGTGCTGATCCTCATGGAGTGAGATGATCATTTTAAGGAACTTGGGGGGACAACCTAAACGTTCCAAAATCTGCCACAGACCTTTCCTGCTCACAGTATCGAAAACCTTGGTGAGGTCGACAAAGGTTACATAAAGACCTTTGTTCTGTTCCCTGCACTTGTCTTGCAGTTGTCTGAGAACAAATTCCATGTCTGTGGTGCTCCTGTTGGCTCTGAAACCACATTGGCTTTCAGGTAAAATTCCTTCTGCTATAGTGGGTATTAGTCTGTTCAAAAGTATTCTTGTCAGGATTTTGCCAGCATTGGAGAGTAGAGTAATACCACGGTAGTTTGAGCAATCTGATTTAATACCTTTCTTCTTATACAAAGTGATGATGACTGCATCACGAAGGTCTGATGGTAGTTTGCCTAGTTCTCAACAGCGCACCACAAACTTGTGAAATTTGGCATGGAGTGCAAGGCCCCCATATTTCCAGACTTCGAGTGGAATTCCATCAACCCCCGCTGCCTTGCCGATTTTCACCTGCTGTATGGCCTTGAGGGTTTCTCCTAAAGTGGGGGCAGCATCCAATTCATACTTTACTGGTTGTTGTGTGATGGACTGAATTGCTGAGTCTTGGACTACACGGTTGGTACTGAAAAGAGTCTGAAAGTGTTCAGACCATCGATTCAGAATGGAGGTTTTATCTGTAAGAAGCGTTTGACCATCAGCGCTGAGTAGAGGGCTTTGTACCTGGTATGTAGGCCCGTATGCTGTTTTCAGGGCCTCATAGAAACCTTTGTGATCACCCGTATCTACACATAATTGAGTTTTTTAAGCTAGATCGATCCACCACTTGTTCTGGACATTGTGAAGATGGTAAAGGAAGGAGAAAGCTCACCTTTCAGAAATGCAGAAAGAGTAATTCAGGAATGCCAAAAGAAGTTAAAATGGGCTAGGAGGCACTAGGGAAAGTGTTTGGGTTTTCTTTTTTGTTGGATTTTTCTTTACTTTTCTCTAAACTGTTACCCATTCTCATGAATAACAAATGTGTAGAAAAAATGTGTACTCTCTGCAAAGCCCTCCTGTGTTTCTGTATGTTCATACACTTCAACAAAGCACCTCATGGACTATCTAGTTTGAGGGATTTCCCTCTCCCAGGTCTGTAAGGGAAAGTGTCCGGTGCTATGAGTAAACTCTGAAGAGATGAGATTTGTGCTCTCTGTAGCTGACTACCAAGTAGACTACAGTTCCAGTGCTAAGGAGAGATTTATTGCATCCTCAGAGTGAGTTCAGGGACTGAAAAAAAGAGGAGGGATGCACTGTAGAAATTTCATGCTGCTTTCTAGGCATTATCTTCCTGATATCTTCCCGAGGTCACCACTCTCTTCTCCCTGAGCTGGTGGGTCCTCTTTATTTTGCACGTAACAGGCTTGCTATTTACAGAGTACAGCATGCCAGGTCCAGTTGTTCTCAGTGTTCATAAGTGGTTTAAACAGTCATTAACAGCCTCTAAAAAGCCACAGGTGATTCAGAGTAACCTCTTCAATCAAAGAGGTTCCTACCTCTCCCTCTGTGAGTTATTTTTTGAATCAATATTTTTCAACTGAAGGTATCTGTCAAGCTGCCAACAATGCTGGACTG